ACACACTGCCTCCAATCACCAAGTCGTTGAATGAACAGAATTCTGCAAAGTGTTCCTCATTCTCGTTCGTTTCACCGAGTGCTTCTCGACCCATGGTTAGTTCTCTTCTTGTGCTGTCCGCTCCCAGTTTGGCACTCATGTCGCCCATTAGAATTTTGATGTCGCCAACTGAGGTCTTGTCCAATGTTGATTCCAGTTGTCTGTAAAATTCCTCCTTCTCTTCATCTGCGTTATTTGTAGGTGCATAGCATTGTACGATTGTGATTTTCCTTCCTTTTGAGTTGAACCTTGGTGTCATGATCCTGTATGAGGAGATTGGTTCCCACTGTATGAGAGCCTTCGATACTGTTGGGGACATCATGATAGCCACTCAAAAACTCGGTGTGCTGGTGCTTATCGTCTGGGTGACAATATCGCACAGTTTGGAGAGTCCACTTCCATTCCACCTACTTTCGCAGATTCCTAGCACTTCTATGCTTTACCTTCTCATCTCTTTTGCAATCTGGGCAGCGTTGCTAAGTTCAAACATAGTGTGGACATTCCATATCCCCACGTTTACTTTCGCTTTCATCGAGAGAATGCACATCCGCCAATTGGCTTCCTGAAGACTTTCACCAACCGGCGTCATTTCGCCTCTCTGACTCCAGCGATGAATAAGTTTGTTTTTATTTTTTTTATTTTGTTTGTGCTTTGTAGTTTCTTTAGCGGTTGGATTGGTTTCCTGAGGTAGGGTTGCTAGCCCTATGCCCAACCTTCCCTGTTTACCCGGGCTTAGGACCGGCTATTAACTAGTGAACTAGTTAACCAGACGAGGGACAAATAATAATAATAATAACTGTGCAAGGTGTCAGTAATAAACATTCCTTTCTGTATCTCAGTCTTCTCGTTTCCTACAGTGTCATTATTTGTTGTTGGCAGTCCAATAGATGTGTCCTGCAGTATTTATTGAATGCATCTTCATCAACATTCGCTTCTAATTATAGTCCATTACAATAAACAAAATGTGTAATGATTTCATAAAAGCGATATTGCTCACTTGAAGCTTTCAAAACTATTTAATGACTAAGTCTACTAGTGAAATATTTTTACTATCTATGTAATGCAAGAAAATTTATCTGGACATCGTATGTGATGCATTTACCGATTATTGTTTAGAAGCTTCCAGTCAGTCAGTAATTAAGGGTCTCTTTTAAGATGTGATGTACGTCCGCTAGATCTGTCAAATGTGCAAAGGATTAAAATTAATTCAATACTAATCTGAAATATCACATGGAACTGAGTTAGTACATTGAATATCTTCTCGATCTTCACTGGTTATCTTTTTGTGGTATGTAACTCTTATGGTTGAGCACTTGCTAAAACTTATGCACTGTGGTAGATTGTAGTTTCCTTTTAATTTGTTAATAAAATGTGCCTCACAGTGAATTAGTATTATTTAGAGGATAACGTTACGTTTTCATCTTTCACTCATTGTGAATCGTCGACTCACCTTATTCATCATAATAATCTGTTGTTAAAGGATTATTGGTGAAAGATTACGACTTATTCTGAAGCACCTATTAGTTCTAGTATGCGAACGTCTTTACATAATTTGGTGTGTGAAAACTACAGCAGCAAGTCCATCGCTAACGAAAGTCGATGATGATAACACTAAGGATGCTTTCGACAGAGAACTGACTAGACAGTCTTCCGAACAAGTTAACATCACTCGATGTGAAGAAACTAAGTGGTATCTATCTTCTATTGTGAAAACAGCGTGATTGGCTCTGAGAAGGGGGTTAGAAAGAGCTGTGTTTTTATGAGCTTCTTGTGACTTGTTGGATACACATAAACTCCTTGTCACGAACTTCGATCATAGTGTGGAACGGAAGCAACTCAATTGCTGACCGACAAAGCGTTCGCGCAATGATTGTGAGCAGAGGTGAAAAGCAGAAGCTGAATAGATGAATAAGGCAGTGACGATAGTGGTTAAGAAAATTGAGGTAGAAGGGTAGATGAATAGTGAAACTATGGCGGAGAAGGAAGGGTCTGCAATCTACTCACAGAGACGACCGAAGCCATGGGCGAAATATATCGGTGTACAGTTCAGCTGACCCTCAGGTATTATTTAGTCCCCGGTTATCCACTTGGACCTCGAACGAAACATTGAGATAATGCCTCCAACTTTTGCCGAAGTTGAGGTGTTAGGTAACTTGGAGTGACGAAGAGTAGCAGGGCTATTAAATTAAGTATCTGGGAACTGTGATGGAGGACTGTTGGCTAAGTTGACTAAAATGTTAACTAGCGTATGGGTGTCAAATTTGCTGCCACCTGACTAGTCTTAGCCAGTGATTGTCCTAGTCTTCGAGAGAATAGAGAACTTCTGTTGTGATGTCCATAATGGAATCAGTGTTACCAACATAGTGTCTAAGATGTTGGAGAATATTTTTAGCTTAGGCGGATGATGACATGCTTGTCATCATTAAAATAAACGAATTGGAAAATGCTTACAAATTAATCAACAACATTTTCAGTGGCGTCGCATTCACAGTTGAAGAGGTATCAAATAACAAGCTGGCATTTCTAGATGTTTTGATCATTAGAGAGGATTTGGGGAAACTGGTAACTAAAATATTCAGAAACCCAACTCATACGGATCAAATCTTCAGCTACAGTAGCCAAACCCCAAGACAACACGAAATCAGTTATATAAAAACATTATTGAAAGGAGCGAAGATACATTGTAGTGCATCAACCCTGTGGAGAAAAGAAGGAAACTAATTGAGTGTCTGGTTTCCAGAAGAACGGCTTTTCACTCAACTTCATCAAAAGGTGTTTGCATATTTCGTCGTCAACCAAGAATTCAACTTTGGAAACATGAGGAACATCTCAGAGATCATAACTAGGTTTTTGAAGACTTTTGAAATGTTTGTGGCTCACGAACCCAAAAAACCTCTTCATTCTCTGTTATGGAGGCCAAAAGATGCAACAGCAAAGGAAGACAAACCAAACATTATCTACAAAATAAACTGCAGAAACCCTTTTCGAATTCATCTACATGAACATCAACTATGAGTGAAGCGTCATGACATAACTTCGCTCATATCAAGGAAAACGGATAACTGTGGACATGAATTCGACTAAGTAAATGTGGATATCCTGTATAGAGGAAATAAGACGAATACCAGAGGATTTTGGCATTCAGGTCAGTTAGCAATCAACGGACATATCGACATTGACCCAATCTATCAACCAATAGGGAATAACAATGAGGTCAAAGTTCACGTCAGCAGGACAACTAATCGAAATAAATGTTGAGACGATTACATGACTTTGACAAAGGCAACCAGTCATACATAAGGGCTACTAAGCAACTAGTGGAGAAACCCCTATGGCTCACTTCTTTCCAAAGTTTGTAGTGATGGTGTTGCCTAGAATGACAGTGAAAGGTTCACACACACACACACGAAACGAGCATATTGACTGATGACATTGGAAAACTTCACGGACTTAAATGAGGGGGACTTGTGTTATGTATGACTGGACACTATCTCCTCCGTTTCAGAATGTTATCTGAAGTAGGTTTTGGTTGGAGTAGAGTTGAAGACACTCAGTGTAAGACATAACATGTGTCCTTGAAATCTTTGACTATTCGGCTTAGCCATGTGGTGAAATGCAAAATTTCCCCGTGGGTGTCATTGCGATAAGAGAAGCGGGCGGTTGAAAAATTTCAGTAATCTGGCTAAGAATAGATCCCTGCTGTCACCGATTCTTCCACGCTCCATGTTTGTTCTGTATTGTGACATTAAATTGCAGTATTTTGATTTTCTTTTGAGCTCTCGGTTTGTAAATTTCTGAGACTCTGAATTGACCTAGAATACGCACATGGCGTAGTCCTGTTAGCCTTGCTGACAAGATGTAGTCTTCTGAACACTTTGAGTGAAAATTTCAGAATGTTTGGGATGCGGTTCTCATCACCCAGATGCAGATTTCTCCTCCAGCATTGGTCTTCAACGGTCCCACAGCTAACAATAGAGTGTAGTGGATGGGTGTGGTGTGTCGACCCCTTCACTTACCTGGGAAGTAGGATATCAGCCCTGGTGGCTCAGTGGTCGATTAAATCTCTGTACGAATAGAAAAGGCTCGGCTGGCTTTTGCCAATTTACGCCACCTATGGCGCTGCCGTGATATCCTATTGTCTATTAAGGGTCGCATGTACTGCACATCAGTCTGGTCTGTTCTACTGTATCGCTGTGAAATATGGTCATTGAAGGTAGAAGACATGAGAAGGCTTCAAGTGTTAAACACCGTTGCCTTCATAGTATAGGCTGTATTCATTCCGTGGTGTCACCACGTGAGTAATGCAGAAGTCAAATATAGAGTTTTAGGGAGAAGAGGTATATCAGTTGATACTGTTGCGAACCTTCATCGACTGAGATGGTTTGCTCCAACATGTGTTACATATGCCTAGTCGTCAATCGCCTCGTCACACAATGTTGACCGAAGTAGGTTCAGGCTGGAAAATCGCTCAAGGCGGTCAGACTAAAACATGGCATCAATGTACGAAGAGTTTGACTGTTGGTTTGAGTCATGTAAGGTGATGCAGACTGGGTGGTTGGAGTCCGTGGGATAAGAGAACCCAGTGGTTGGAGACTCTATGTGATATGGCTTACGACCGATGTCAGTTGTGCAGATGTATACACACACTATCCTCATCTTAACGACGCTATACCGAATCTCACCACTTTCTCATTCTTCGTTTCTCTCTTTTCATACTTCATATTTCTTTCGAGTGAATTTTCTCTTCTTCATCTTCCACTTCACTGCCTTTTTACTTGATGTACTATACGGAGGTGTGGCAACTCGGACCGTTACTCAGTAATGCCTGGTGCTATGTTGATTTGGATGGATGTAGTGTCATTTACTAGTCATTTTTATTGGAAAGTAAATCACTTTCAAAATAATTCTATATTCCTGTCTGTATAGTTTGTTAATGCAATTATTTTTTCTTTCTTTCTCAGATGCCTGAACTATCAACTAATCAACTTAAAGGGAATCGACGTTGTCATCAACCGAGTATTTTATTCTTATGGCAAAATCTTGGCATACTATTAGGCTTCTGTATAATGCTACTAATAGCATTCTATGAAAATGAGTTCATTTCACATTGATTTACTCTGATTGTATGTGCTTATTAAATCATCTCTCTTTCTGCATTCACTACCATACTTTTTAACCTAGAAGATCTAACCAGCATATACTCCCGCTCCGTCTACCGCCTTCACATACTTTCCAATCTCATTTTCTTCTCTTGTACTATCTTTTTTGCTAGATGTTTACATCCTTTTTTTGTTTCGTCTTTTCTTGACAGATAATATTCATGAGTTTTTCATTGAAGAGTAACTATAGTAGCTAACGTATCTTTCTATTGTTTCGCTCTTGTAACAGTGAAATTTTAACATTTTCTTCAGGATATATATATATATATATATATATATATATATATATATATATATATATATCTGTGTGTGTGGTATTCGTTTTGTTTCTTTCACCGGTGCATGTACTTCTCAAGCTTTTCAGTGTTACTCAATCCTTATGTAATGTTTATAGAGTTGCATTATTCGCTCTTAAAATAAGCCTGCCATGAATGTTGAGCTAATCTCATATATATATATATATATATATATATATATATATATATATATATATATATATATATATATATATATATAGGTGTCGAAATGTTCGTGCTCTGTTGATTCTTTGTCTTTGGTGGTTTTCAGCTCTGTTTATTTATATTAAACTTTATTCGACTTGGTGTTGTTATCTCCTTATTCATGCGTTATATGATTACAATTTCAAAAGATTATTTCCATTCATTATTTTGTCAGTTGCCTGTGTTTTTCTTTTTATCCATAAGATACTGAATAAAGATGATCATTAATATTGTGTCATTCTGTTTACTTTTGGATGCTTGTATATTCCCTTATACGCCTTCACATACACTCAGTATTTGTCACTTGTGTTTATTCTCTTATGAAGTGTATTCATTGTACTGCACTCCCAATTGTTTGTGCTACTTATTCTATTCAACACACTGTAATGTAGAGAATCAATGAATAGGATGAACAGAAAATCACATATCTCAGATTTTACTTTATCAGTAAATAAATGTTACACTGATTGATGGTTTAATAGTTACTGTTGTTTTTATGAAGTTAAAATTTCACAATGTAGGCTACCTAGTCATGTTTTCTGTGTTCGTTTAGTTTGGTTTTGATGATATTTTCCCATCTGCCTTCTGTGTTGAACTGTTAGTGTGCCAAATTGGTATATTATTCATAAATACTGGATTATTTCGATGAACACTTAGTTTATAACAACAAAGATGATTAGCTTCGTTTTGCTGATTTGTTGTCTTTGATGAGCGAAGCTATGACGGTACATTCTCACTTGATAACTTGTATGGCTACTCAGTAATTCTAGGTCCTATGTTGATAGGGGCTGATTGACTTGTCATAGCTGCAAGACCTCTATTGCAAGGAAGTGAAATGCTACTGTAAACGCAGCTGGTTTCCGTAAAACCTCTAAAAAGATAAAAATTCTGTTCAGTAAATTCAATACTGTGTTTAAAACCTGCCAGTTTCACTCTTTGTGAACTGTATTTAGACGATAAATATCTGTAAAACCTTGAACCGTAGAAATTATGTTTACCAAGCTAAGGGTTTTGTATTAAAGCTTGTTCTCAATTGTCCCACTTAGTTCAACATTACCCAGGTAACTGTTAACTTGGATACAGTGGAAAAGTACGTTTTCTAAACTTACATCGTATATGTGCACTCGCATAATTGCGATAGCTACATGTATAGTCTGTAGATATTCAAAGAGTGAATAATATAGGATTTCCACATTGGTATAGTGCGGTCAACTAAATAACCACACTTATTTTTCACACAAACATTTCTTATTAACTGTGGTTTGGGTCACCAGAGTTCTAGCTAATGGGATTTTTCGTCCAATGGTACTTAGTATTCTATAATATGTTGTGTGGAACATGGTTTCAAAAGGTGAGAAAAAGTGTTTGATGTACTTGAATTATTTTTAGAGCTGTAGATTTTGAAGTCATTAACGATACAAAGTTATGAGGGACATGAAACAAATTTCGAGGTTAGTGTTGATATCTTAGTCTTATTGTAAGTAGAAAGGCAGCTTAAACTTCTGATTACTTATACCATATTGAACTGGTGGAACAAGAGTTTGGATTAACTTCATATAACCTCATAGTTCAAAGACTGTTCGCTTGAGACCTGCTACATGACATTTTTAAAGATGATGGATTCGTACCGATGAGGCTTAGGACTAGGTAATATATGGCATTTAGGTCCGGCATTGTCGAATCCCTCCTTCGATCGTAGGAAGATGGAACAACTTTATCGCTGATTGCTAGTGAAAAGCTTCTGGCTGCAGTTGTATGCATCTCTGTTGCACCAGCTGCTTGACGTTGTACTAAGATAGCCTCCATATCATTTCATTACAATGTTAGTTGTCTATAGTTTTAGTACTATCCAGACTACTTTTCTGACATAATACAACCTCGAAGAATGAGATTCTCAGTCAGTTGAGCTCATTAGGTTGTGGCGAAAAATAAGTTCAAACACCATAATCAGGTAAAAGTTGTTGATCATGTGCGAAACTCATCTGCTAAGTACTCCTCTATCATTTAGAGTTTCATCCCGCTGCCATGCAGACGAACAGCTGCTAAATATGTGACCATCATAGACAAAGCAACAGGCAGGGAAAGAAGCAAGAACTCCAACAAGGAGTTTTTTCTGTGTTCATGTTTCTCCCTACTTTCATTGCTATGGCGTTCATCGTATGCGCTTTTCTTTTGAGTACTTAGAAACATAAATTTCATGCTGTCATGTAGTGTAGAACTTCTGTTTTTGATTACTGTGTAGGGTAGGGCAGAATATGTCGTTAGTTTGAGGCCACAACTTAGACAAGTATCCCCAACGCTTTGTATGAAAGGCAAGTGTAGGTGTGGTGGATGTCTCACTATACATTAAGAGGGCCCAGTATACGAAATGTCATGAAGGATACTGTTGGTGCATTCGGTGGGCTGGAAAAGTTGCCAGATGATAAGAGGTTAATTAGTAACCGGCCAAATTCAGAGGGTGATTTGGAGGCCTTCACTTTAGCGGGAAGCCTGTTCCACAACTGAGAGAATCCGACGGTGAAGAAGTTTTGCGCACGAACAGGATTTGAACGGTTTTATTGTGACGCTGTATGTGTGGTTGCGCAGATTGCACCGACTGTTGTGTTCGAACTGAAATTCACCACTGGCTGTAAAAGTGAATTTATGTAACGCATTAAAGAAAAATATCGGGTTAATTTTGAGTCGTCCCATCCAGAGTGGTTCTACACTTAGGGTTCTGCATCTGGAGCTGTAGTCTTGTGTTCTTTTAATCTGGCCGTAAGATACCTTTGGACACCCTCTATTTTTTATTTGTCTTCTATGCGTACACCACTCAGTGTAAATGGACAATATTCTAATAGTGGACGTACACAAGTTTTGTAGAGTAGCAACTTGACTTCTTTGAAGTGTAAGTTACGATCATATGCGAGAGTGGATGCATGTCCCAGAGCTGTAGTCAATGGAATCCCATGATTGTTAAGGGTACCAGGTGCTTTGTAAACATATCCCATCAATTCTGTAACATTCCAGTAGTGCACTGTGACCCATAGAGAATCACTTATCTCATGAAGAACTATATTAACCAGCCTGAATACAGTGAGTGTTCAGGAAGTACATCAGACAACCTCCTCCTTTCTTGTTACTCCGGTCACATCGGAATTGTGTGTACATATCAATACTTATCTCATCATCTGGTATATTTGCGTGACACCAAGACTTAGTGATAATTATTACAGGCGGCTTACATATGAGCGCAACTCCCCAAATACTGATTGTTTGCTAAGGACGGACCTTGTGTTTATGAGAACGATGTACAAGTAAGACGAGTGATGATGTATAAAGCTTTCTAATTCGCTAAACAGGCCAAAATGTGTCTCAGTGTCACTTGATTGAGTATAGTCTGACGTCGTCGCGTTACAGAACGTCTCTGCACCTTGTTCACTTGTAGTTGTAGAGTTACTAGGATATCCCACTGGTAAATCGACCACACGGTGAGTTGAAATGGTATCACCATTATTATGGGAGAATGGAGCAATGTTTTTAGTTAAGGTGTTCAGTGTGTGCATCGTATCCACGTGCACACAGTTTGGCCTCATCAAAAGCGTGGTCTCTAGCATCGGTATCTGTTTCACAGAGGGCAGACGGTTTTTCTACGTGGTGGGTGTGTAGGGCTGGTGATACCGCCTGGAGGATTCAATGGACGTGTTGTGTTTTCACATCTGTTGACGCCACTTGGGCAGTGGGCGTTTAGGATTTGTGTATGTGGTTGATTGTGTCTTTTCTGTTGCTCCGGCGGCGATAAGATTAGCGGTTCAGAGTAAGGAGTTTCAACATTCCCATTAGTTGTCTGGCCAAAACTGCTGCCGACATGGATGTAATGGATAAAAAATTATTGCGTTTTTCTGGTCCTTGTAAACCGCTGTTCTGCACTGTATTCCTTACCAGTGATTGACCTCTGTTACAATTCACAACGAACATTAATGGCGTTATGTTCGATCGGGGGCTGTTTCCTAGCAAGCTGGTGCCATGCAGATGATCACAGTTCTCCTTATAAATTACCCCCTGACGTTCTATTATAAGAGGTTTGATGCTGGCTACTCCCATTAGTGAGCGATACAGTTAGGTTGTTGTGACGTCTCTTTGTGTTCTCGTTGCTAGTGGGACGTAGCTCGGTACATAGAACCTTTTTGATGGAGCTACTGTTCTTGCTTATGTGAATTCCAGAAGGGATTATGGGATCATCGTATGTTTTCTGCTTTCGTCTCTACTTGTTGGGTTCCATGGGAGCACTGGCTTACCGGTTTCATGTCGAGTGGCCGATATTCGATTACAGAAGCTGGTGTGTGCAGTAGACTTTAGGCCTCCAGCAGACCTCAATGAGAGTTCTGTCACTTTTAGTGCAGTTTCAGGTCCTATTTCGGGGCTTTCTATGGATACATTTAGACCTACGGTTTTAGGTAGTTGAGTCGAATC